TCTCTCTCTCTCTCTCTCTCTCTAAAAAAAAAAAATGTTCAGGGTTTATGGGCCACATCACATCTTTGAAAAAAAAAAAGAAACAAATGCTGAAATACAGATGTAATAATAAAAACAAAGAATGATCACAGCAGCATTATTTATAGTGGACAAGAGGTGAAAACTACTCAAATGTTCATCTACAGATGAATGCACAAACATTATGTGATATACAGATGCAATGGAATATTATCCAGCTATGAAAAGAAATGAAATACTGATATAGGGTACAACTTGGATGAACCTAAAAAAATTATGCTAAATGAAGGGAAGCAGACATAAAAAGTTATATTTTGGGGGGAGGGTACTGGACGATTTAACCCAGGACAATTTAACTCAGGTACCACTGAGCTACATCCCTAGCCCTGCTAAGTTTGTTCTTAATTAAAGAAAGAGCACTACCTTAAAGAATTATTTTTTTTTTTTAAGTTGTCAATAAACCTTTTATTTATTTATTTATTTATTTATTTATATGTGGTGTTAAGAATTGAACCCAGGGCCTCACACATGCTAGGCAAGTGCTCACCACTAAGCTACAACCCTAGCCCTCCCTAGCCCTATTTATTTTTCTATTTATTTATTTATTTTGGTACCAGGGACGGAACCCAGAGGTGCTTAACCACTGAGTCACACCCTCAGCTCTTTTTATTTTGTTATTTTTGAGACAGGGTCTCACTAAGTTGCTTAGCCTTGCTCAATTGCTGAGGCTGGCCTTGAATTTGAGATTCTCCTGTCTCAGCCTTCCAAGTAACTGGATTACAGATATGCGCCTATGCGCTCGGCATTTTTTATGATTCCTTTTATAAGAAATATCCCAAATAGGCAGACCCCTAGAAACAGAAAGCATAATAGTGTTTGCTAGAGGATCACAGTGGGAGTGGAGGGAAAGAGTGGTAATTACTTAATGTGTTTGGGATGATGAAAAACCTTGAAGCTAAAGAAAGGTATAGGTTGCATGATATTGTGGGTGCACTCAATGCCACCTAATTATATGCTTTAAAATAGTTGGTTAATTTTTTTTTCTGGTAATCTTAGGGATTGAACCCAGGGACCTTATGCATGCTAGGCACTGAGCTATACCCCTAGCCCCTAAAATAGTTAATTTTGTTATACAAATTTCACCTCATTTTTTGTTGTTTTTGTTTTTGTATTGGAGACTGAACCCAGGGATGCTCTATCACTGAAATAAATCCCCATCTTTTTTTTTTTTTTTTTTTGAAACAGATAGTATCTTGCTAAGTTGCTGAGGCTGGCCTTCAACTTTCAATCCTCCTGCCTCAACTACCAAGACACTGGAATTACAGGCATGTACTCCAGAGTCCATCTGAATTTCACCTCAATTGAAACAAAAGCAAAACCAAAAACTTATGACAGCCCTTGATTTAGCTGTTGTGGAGTTTTTTCAGTAGTTGTGGTTCATTCTCCAGACAACTGTCCTCAAATTGCTAAGACAAAAAATACAAACCTATAAAAGATACACTGGAATTCTCTATCCTATTTTTGTAACTTCTTTTAATCAATCTACAATTATTTAAAAAGAGAAGTTTAAAAGAAAAACGATGTGATTGTGGCTGCTCTGTGCTTCCTACCTTCAGTTCAGACTGCCTACCCTCTTATAATCCTGGGACTCATCCCAGGCAATAGACCTGGCAATTGGCCCACTGAGGTTGGGCATCTGTCCTAGCCTGGAGGCTGGGCAGGAGTCTGCTCAGAGTATATTCTCACTTTCACTTTTGCTTTCCCTGAAATGACAGAGGAATCAGGAAGGAGGTGGTAGCCAACAGCTTTCTTTAGTCCCTTGGCTTTGCTGCCTGTTTGCTCTAGTTACAACCCCTGAGACCTGTGTGGTGCCACTTCCCACACAGAGACTATAGTAAGCGCCAGGCCTGAAGATGAATATCCCAGAGCCTTCCATGTCGCTGGATGAGGAGATATACTCCCGGCAGCTGTGAGCCTTGAGGTGGATAGGGAGTGGGGTGGCCTTCAGACCTCTCTGATCTCTAGATGCCTGTCCTCCTACTTCCCATCCACAGGTATGTGCTGGGCCCACTTGCCATGCAGAGGATTCAGAAAGCCAAAGTCCTGCTATCTGGCCTGAAAGGCCTGGGGGCTGAGGTGGCCAAGAACCTGGTTCTGATGGGGATTGGCAGTCTCACTCTGCATGATCCCCATCCCACCTGCTGGTCTGACCTGGCTGCCCAGGTAAGGGTCCTGAGGGGCTCCAGGCTCTCAGACCAGGATGGGACCCAAGGGAAATCTCTTTGCTCATTCTGCACTGGATCTCTCCTTAGGTTTTCCTTTCAGAGAACGACTTGGAAAAGAACAGGGCTGATGCCTCTCAAAAACACTTGGCTCAACTCAATGAAGCTGTCCAGGTCTTTGTCCATACAGGTGACATCACAGAGGACCTACTGCTGAACTTCCAGGTAACTTCTCCAGTCCCAGTTTCTAGGCCAGTTTCCAGCTCTACTCTCAACAGAAGGGAGGCCTTGGCAGTGGTTCTGGCCTGCTGATCATGGTGTTCATCCAGGTGGTAGTGCTAACTGCCTCAAAGTTGGAGGAACAGCTGAAGGTGGGCACCTTGTGCCACAAGCATGGAATCTGCTTTGTAGTGGCTGATACCCGGGGCCTTGTGGGGTGAGTGAGATTGTCTGCCCAGCCTATATATCACAGCCAACAATTGGTCTCAGTGCTGTCTCCAATTCTAAGCTTGTTCCAGTGCCCCTCCACCCAACCTCAGGCCTGTCCCAGAACTTCCTGCAATTCTGGTCTTCAGTCCCACCCCTCTGGTTCTTCCAATCCAGCCTCCAGACCTGCCTTAGTAACAAAAAAAAAAAAAAAAAAATCTAGTTTCCAAACCTCTCCCAGCATTCCTAGTATCCCCTATCCTTAACTACAACCTGTGATCCTGGCCATTTACACTAGGCAGTTATTCTGTGACTTTGGTGAGGACTTCATTGTGCAGGACCCTACAGAGTCAGAGCCCCTGACAGCTGCTATCCAGCACATCTCCCAGGTGAGTACTGAGAAGTGGGTATTTACCTGATGTCTAGGGAATTGTTGGTTGGAAAGCCTGTGGAAAACAGGAATAGGCACACCTGAGACAAGCCACCTTCCACCCAGGGCTCTCCTGGCATTCTCACTCTGAAAAGAGAGGATAATAGAAACTCCTTCTGTGATGGGGACTTAGTAACTTTCTCAGGCATTGAGGGCATGGTTGAACTCAATGGCTGTTCTCCCCGGCCCATCCATGTACAAGGTAAGCCAACACCATCCCACCCTGGGCTCAATGCCCAAGACCTCATTGATAGTAAATATAGTCTGGTCCTGGGGGATAGGTTTTCCTTTCACCTTTCCCAGGGTGCAATAAGGTCTGGGACACAGAAGTCAGGATGGGATATGGAAACTACCCAGGTTCAGGGATCATAATTTACTAGATTAGATCTCTTTCAGAGGATGGGTCCTTGGAGATTGGGGACACAACAACTTTTTCCCGTTACTTGCATGGTGGGATTATTACTGAAGTCAAGAGATCCAAGACTGTGATACATGTAAGTGCAAGTGCATCTGAGATGGGAGTGTTCTGAAGTGTTCTAGACCTGACCCTAAACCAAGTATCCATTGCAGGAGCCCCTGAACATAGCCCTGCACCAGCCCCGGATGGTAGCTCAGAATCACCAGCAAGCCCATCGTGCCCACTGCCTACATCAGGCCTTCTGTGCACTGCACAAATTCCAGCAACTCCATGGCCGGCTGCCCCAACCCTGGGATCATGTGAGTGGTCCCACTATACCCCCTAGCCTTATTGGAGTTTCACTTGAGACCTCACCTCAGTGACAATTCACAGATTCAAGTTTGAACCCCAGAAACAATATCCCCACTTAAAAAAATTTTTAAAAAGGAAGAAGAAGCTGGGTACAGTGACAGACAGTTAAAATCCCAGCTACTTAGGAGGCTGAGGCAGGAGGATTGCAAATTCAAGGTCAGGGCTCCCCTGGCATTCTCACTCTGAGAAAAGAGGACAATAGACTCTCCTTCTGTGATGGGGACTTGGTAACTTGATAATTTAAGGAGACCCTACCTTAAAATAAAAGATAAGAAGGACTAAGGATGTAGCTCAGCGGAGAGCATCCCTGAGTTTAATCTTAGTACCAAAGGAAAAAAAAAAAAAAGGAGGAGATGAAAATCACTATCTTTAAATTAGAGGCTGAGTCCACAGAAGTGCCAGGCACACAGCCTGGGGACCCCTGCTGTGTCCTAATCCATCAGAACCAAGTTGGAAGTTCCACTCAAATTGGTAAAGCCTCTTGGGCCTTTCTCTGGTGCAGGGCATCCTCTAGTTATGCTGCCCAGGCTAGAAATAGGACTAGGCCTTCCCACTTAGGCTTCTGCTTCCTCTTCTGTAGAACAGGGTGATAGCTACCTAAAGGCTTTAGGCGTAGGGGTTTCCAAGTCAGGCTGGATTGCAATGCCCATAGATTTTCACCCCACAGGCTGATGCAGAGATTGTAGTAGGTCTGGCACAGGCCCTGGAACCCCTGAAGGGCCGAGAAGAAGAGCCACTGGATGAGGCCCTACTGCGGACAATTGCCCTGAGTAGTGCTGGTGACTTGAGTCCCATGGCAGCCATTCTGGGAGCAGTGGCTGCCCAGGAAGTCCTGAAGGTGGGCACAGTCACAGGCAGGGATGAGGAAGGAGACGGGGAGGTATGTGGGTCAATGAAACACCCAGTTAGCAGACCATGGCCCTGGAGGCTTCACCAATCTAGGTACAGCCTTCAACTATAATCTGAGGGGAGTTAGAAGTTGGTAGAAACCCTTGGTGTAAAGTGCTGTCCCCTAGGCAATCTCCAGGAAGTTCATGCCCCTGGACCAGTGGCTATACTTTGACGCCCTTGATTGCCTTCCAGAAGATTCTCTTCCCAATCCTGAGGATTGTGCTCCGGTGAGTTCCTGGAGTAGGGGTGCAAACCTTGTTCAAAATCATGGCTAGGGAAGAAATGTGAAGAATGGATCTTAGGTCCTGATTCAGTGAAAGAAGGAGATGCAGCATAAGCCAGCAGCCATCACTGACCCCAGTCTGTGTCCTCCAGAGAGGCTGCCGTTATGATGGGCAAATCGCGGTGTTTGGGGCTGGTTTTCAGAAGAAACTGAGCCTCCAGCACTACTTCTTGGTGAGCTGTGGAATGGGGGTGGGAGTGTCTTTGGGAGGCCAGGTCAGGCCCTTAGGCTAAAGTTGCTTCTACCTGCAGGTGGGCACTGGTGCCATTGGCTGTGAGCTGCTCAAAGACTTTGCTCTAGTGGGCCTAGGAGCAGGAGGCTGTGGTGGTGTGACTATTGCTGACATGGACCATGTAGAGCACTCCAATCTCAGCCGTCAGTTTCTCTTCAGGACCCACGATGTTGGAGTAAGTGCTGGCCCCTCCCACACTCGTGTCCCAGACTGCCCTCTAAATAATGTCCCATACCCAACATCTTCTTCCCTTCTTCCAAGAGGCCCAAGGCAGAGGTGGCTGCTGAAGCTGCTCAAAAACTGAACCCAGACTTACGGGTAACTCCACTCATTCGGTCACTAGATCCCACCACAGAGCACATCTTTGGGGACAACTTCTTCTCCAATGTAGATGGTGTGGTTGCTGCTCTGGACAGTTTTCCAGCTCGTGAGTGCCTGATTTGGAGCTCAGCCCCTTGCCCAGGCAGGTCAGCCTCATTTCTGACCCTTTGCTCCCTTGTCAGGGCACTATGTGGCTGCTCGCTGTACCCACTATCTGAAGCCACTGTTGGAGGCAGGTACACAGGGCACCTGGGGCAGTGCTTCAGTATTTATACCACATGTAACTGAGGTCTACAGTGGCCCTGTCTCAGCTTCAGCTTCTGAGGATGCCCCCCACCCTGTCTGTACTGGGCGATACTTCCCAAGCACAGCTGAGCACTCCCTGCAGGTGAGCACACCTCACTCCACCAAGCTCAGCTCTCAACTGCATATATGTTCCTTATCTGACACTTTATTATCCTTCCCTCCACCACAGTGGGCCCGGAATGAATTTGAAGCACTCTTTCAACTATCTGCAAAGACCATCAACCAGTAAGGCCACACAGAGAGGTGGAAGAAGGTTTAGGGTTCCAAGCTCAGGACTCAGCTTCAAACTTCCTTCTTTCTCCACAGGGCACGTACTTCCCTGGCAGACATGGATAGACAACAGATACTGACTTTACTACGGCTGGGTGTCCTAGGACAGCGCCCACAGACCTGGCAAAACTGTGTGGTGTGGGCCCTTGGCCAATGGCAATTCTGCTTCCATTATGGCATCACACAGCTACTGAAACACTTCCCACCTGATAAAGTAGGTGGCAAGGGGTTGGGTGGTTGAGGGTTCATGGGGACCAGACTCAGCCCAATAGCCTATCTTTTTCTAGGTGCTTAAGGATGGAACTCCATTCTGGTCAAGTCCCAAACAGTGTCCCCAGCCCTTGGAATTTGACGCCAACCAGGTGAGTGGGAATCCTTGGGGAGCCTTGAGATAGAGATATGGCCCTCAGAGGAGAGGAAGTCATCTCTGCATTCTGTAGAAATGCAGATTCTGATCGCCATGTTTGTGTATTTTTGGGTATCTATATGTGTGGCAAGCAGGTACTCAAACAGATTCACAAATGGACAATGAATCACCTGTATTTACCCATACATGCTCACTCACAGCCATGTCTCTGCTGCTACTCTTGGTCTTGCTGCAGGATATGCACCTCCTCTATGTGCTGGCAGCTGCCAACCTATATGCTCAGATGCATGGGATTCCTGGCTCATCAGATCAAACTGCACTCAGGGAGCTGCTGAAGTTACCACAGCCTGATCCCCAGCACCTGTCCCTCATCTTCACTAATAACCTAGAGCTGACTTGGGCTTCTGCTGAGTTTGGTGAGACCCTTGGCCCTGGCCCCCATACTGTCATTAAAAGGCTTAACCCTGACTTTAGCCTATCCTACAGAAGCAAGGTAGGGCTTGAGAGCCTTATAGCCAACTTAGTACATCTCAAGCCCTCTTTCCATGCTCTCCTCTAGGCTTAGCCACATTTTCTAGCCCCTCAGTAGATCCTTTCCCTGCTGCCTACTCCATATCCCAGTTCTTTTTTTTACACTGAGACTCTTCAAACCCAACCTCAGCAACTTATCGAGGCCCTATGCAACTTAGTGAGACCTTGCTTCAAAATAAAAAATCAAAGGGCTCATTGGTTAAGTGCCCTTGGGTTCCATCCCCGGTATCCCCCCATGCCCCCCCCCAGAAAAAAAGAGTGTAGTAACTGGCAGACTTAGCAAAAACCAAGAATAGGCACTAGACTCCAGGAAGAGTGTAGGAGACAGGGGCTAAGGACTACCCCATCATCCCCTCCCCTCATAGGTCCTGAGATGTTAAAGAAACTGCAAGAAGCTCTGGAAGTCTGGGGCAAGTTTCCTCCCCTGAAGCCTCTGATGTTTGAGAAGGTGGGATCTTAAGTTGGTGTAAGGTATTGGGCTAGGGAAGTTGTGGGTGAAGGTGAGGAACAAAGAGGGTTGATTGAGAATCCCTGAGTTCTCTTCCAGTATGTACCTGGAAGCAGCTCACCTTCCTTGAACCTCAGCCTCACTGTGTGACAAGGGGGAGATGGTGAGCTCCTTCCTACCTACAAAACTGTGTAAAGACCTCCTGGGCCTCACTTCACACACCTGTAGTCCAAGCAACTCAAGAAGCTGAGGCAGGGATCATAAGTTTGAGGCCAGCCTGGGCAATTTAGAGAAACCCTGTCTTAATGTAAAGTAAAAAGGGCTGGGAATATAGCTCGGAATAAAGCACTTCTGGGTACTCCACAGTACTACAAAAAAATAAAACTGTGCATCTACAGTGGCCCACAGTTGACCAAGGGAATGGGCACATTTTAATATTAATGCTACTGTGATTTGGGCCTGACAGGATGATAGCAACTTTCACATGGACTTTGTGACAGCCGCAGCCAGCCTTCGATCTCAAAACTATGGGATCATATCAGTCAACTATTCTCAGGTAACCCGACCCCTTAGGGCTCAGTCCTGGAAGTAGAGGCTAAACTTTAGCTCTACAGCTTATTTTCTAACCAAATCTCCTGTCCTTAACAGAGCAAACGAATTATGGGCCAGATTATACCAGCCATTGCCACCACTACAGCAGCTGTGGCAGGTCTGGTGGGCCTGGAACTGTATAAGGTAGTGTATGGGGCACGGTCCCTTAGTGCCTTTCGTCATAGCTATCTGCACCTGGCTGAAAACAACTTCATGCGTTGGGTGCCTTCTGCTCCAGCTACCCAGATGGTGAGCCCTTGATATCTTACCCTTACCCCTGCTAATTTTGGGCTTTCTTGCATCTTCCCAAACAGGCCCTACTCTAGCTGTGGCCTCACTCCAGAACCCAGACTGTGGAGGAGTTCTCAAGACTCCCTCCAGCCCCCTTCCTGCTATGAAGCCAGGCTGAGACCTGTCAGACACAGGAAGCAGCCATCAGCCTTTCCTCCCACCCCACTCCAATCCAGGGTCTGGGGGGTGTGCAGCTTTAACTCATTAGTGGAGCCAGACATCCTCCCAACCTCCTCCTTCCCAGAAGTTTTCCTGAGGGGGTAGATAGTGGGGAGGGGGAATTTGTAGGTAAGGGGAATCATGGCCCCACCCCTAGAAAGATGTAGGGCCCTGGCCTGCCCCCTCCAAGGTGAATTAAAGGGCACTAGATTTGCCACTAGCAATGTGGAACAACAGCCCTGTGTGTGTGATTGTCACAGATGTGAGTGCACCAGAGTCTGGGCATCCCTGGTGTGTAGGTGTGAAGGGAGAAAGCTTGCACATCTGTGAGCCAGATGGGAATGCAAGGCTCTCCTCGATGTGGACATGCATGGATGTGTATGTGGGTATACATGTGGGTGTTCCTGGGCTTGTGTGCATATGTTCCTGTGAGTGCAGGACAGGGACTATCTCCAAATTGTGTGCCCAGACTTTGTAGTAGTGGTATTTCCTTGGGGCATAAGAAAGAGGATAGAGGGAATGCTGTTGTCAGGGGAGAAGCCAAAGGTCAAAGGTCACTGGCAAAGGCCCTAGCCTTTGCCAAGCAGCCCTAGGGTCCCTCTGGACACAACATGTAGAGCCCTTTAGTGAGACACCCCACCTCTAACCAGCACACAGGCTGCTTTGTCTGTGGAATGGAGGAAGAGTCTCTAACCTAGTCTCATCTTGACCCCAGTATGTTTTCTTAGGGGCTGGCAAGGTCCCCCATCCTAGACTCTGGCTGTCCGCCACTCTTCTGTCCTCAACTCTAGGCATCAGAAACTCTATTGGACAGGAACAGGAGGCTTCTATAGATTGTGTCTCGGCTGGGATCTCTGGGCCAGTAGGGCTCCAGTAGTCACTGTACTATGTACTCCTGTGTGCCTAAAACTAGTCAAAGGCTCTAAAAGTAAGGATGAGGAATAGGATGTATCCTCCCGCTCCTAGCCTTGCATTTGAGGAACAAGCAGCTTTATCAGAGACTCCAGTAGCCTAGCTCTGGCTTCCTCAGGAAGCACCACCCCCTTAGTCCCCCTCCAACAACTGGCCTGTATGATGGATCAGTCTGTTTCCCTGTGTGGGCCCCATAGCCCCATTTCCTGTGCTGGCCTCAGCCTGGGCAGGGAGGGGGCTGAGACTCTGGGCCCAGATCCCACCCTCTACTCCCCCTCCCTCACTTCCTGCTTCTAGTCTAGCTCCTCCCCTAGAAAAGGCTGCTAGTAACTGGGACAGAGGTTATCCATTTATGTGAAAACTCTCACTCATCCTCACCCCCACCCCCTAGTTCAATTGCCTGAAGTGGACTTCTTGGGACCGCCTGAAGGTGCCTGCTGGACAGCCTGAGAGGACACTGGAGTCACTGCTGGCCCATCTCCAGGTGTGCCCTGACCCCACCCTGCCCCCAAGTCCAACCCAGCCTGGCCCAGTGGGTATCTGATCTGTATGTGTCTAGGAACAATATGGACTAAGGATAAGGATGCTTCTGTATGACCAAGCCCTGCTCTATTCGGCACGATGGTCATCTCAAAAGCAGGCCCAGCGCCTGTCCCTCAGGTGAGCCCACAGCCAGCTCTAGCTAGGCCCTGCCTGCCCTTGGAGGTTGAGGATGGGGTACACACAGCCTTTCTTTTTCCTAACCCCATTCTAGGCCCCTCACACCTTCCTGAAGCATTCTTTCACCAAATGGGGCAAGCAAATGGACTGGGGGCAGGGCGAGAGCCTAAGGAGGGGCCTTTGGGAGCTCTCTTAGCGAGCTCCACCAGCCCCCAACCCTCTCTGCTCAGCTGCCCTTTCACAGCCCACTCCCAGGGGACCTACAGCTTCCTGCCTCTTGCCCGCCCCACCAGCTGCTCCTAAAATAGTTTCAGATGTTTCCTGTCTTGAGCTGCTCCTGCTTGTGGTCTGGGCTCCTGAAGGCTCTGTAGCACCCTCTAGTCCATGCCAAGTTATCCTCTGTCTACCTCAGCTCACCTGCCCAATCTCCCCTAACCTGCCTCCCCCCCCCATACCAGGGTGACAGAACTGGTTCAGCAGGTGACCGGCCAGGTGCCTGAACCTGGACTTCAGGTACTAGTACTGGAGCTGAGCTGTGAGGGTGAGGAAGAAGAAATGGCCTTCCCACCTCTGCACTATGAATTGTAACAAGGCAGCCACTGCCCTACCACTTGGCTCTATGGAGATCTGCCCAAAAGCCCTGCATCTTGAGCCCACACAATAAATGCTTGTTGAAGGAAGGCATAGTGGAAAACATGGATGACAGAACACAGGGCAATAAATCACATGGGCAAGTGACACGGGCAAGACAACACTCTGGAAGAGTGAGGAAAAGGCTTTAGATTTGCCTCCCCCGATGTGCCTCACAAGGCTGGGACCACCTCCTCAAGCCTCAGGGGTATGGAACCAACAGTCTAGAAAAAGGCCTTTATTGTCCCAGGCTAGAAGGCAGGGTCAGAGATAACTGACATCATTGTAAATGATGGGCTGGCGACTGCGGCAGCTCATGAGGGCTGCAAAGCGTGATAGGTCCGCAGGCAGTTCAGATTCTGCGCGAGGTGGGCATGACAGCCGCTTTCCTGCCATAGCTGCCCTACGAGCCCTGGACAGCCTGCGCCGCAACTGCTCAGAGAGACCAAGCAGAAATTGGGGGGGTCGAGCTCGGGCACGGGGTATGCCTCCATCACCCCCCTCACTTGCTGCCTCAGGCAGCTCCATCCAGTTGTGAACTAAGTCAGCAAAACAGTTGTCCCCCAGCACCAGGGGCTGGCGACTACGTCCCCTGTTCAGCAGGGCTGCTGTCCAGTCCTCTGCTTCCAATCCCTGCCAGTGCTCCAGGCAGGCGTCTGGAGTAGACTTGGGCCGTGGACGGTGGTGGGCAGGTGGTATGCTGGCTACAGATGCCCTGTTAAGCAGGGGGAGATCACTGACTGAGAGGCGCTGGGTATGAGGGAGCCGTGCTGGGAGTGCAGGGCGCGGGAGTACAGAAAGCTCTTCCTCTCGCCATGTGCTGCCTGACACTTCTGAGAAGCCAGAGTCCCAGTCTAGGGCATGCTCCCTTGGGCCCCTCAAGGCTGCATCCCTATCTTCTGCCACCAAGGCTTCCTCCTCCTCTTCCTCTTCCACACAGCAGACAGAATCCTCTTCCAAGGCATCTGAAGCCCTAAGTTGATGGCCAGACTGCACAGCAGGATCAGTTTTAGGGGGTGGCTGCAAGGGGCCAGGCATAGGGGATGAGCCTGTATCCCGACCGCACAACTGAAGGGGAAGAAAGGGTACAAGTCATAGGGGTATCATTTGTCACCCCTGCCTGCCTGGCCAGGCCAGCCATGAAAATAGAGCATCCAAGAGGGCTTGATAGGTGTGCTGGCCTGGGCAACAAGGCAGAAAGTGAGCACAGGGCTGGCATGGGGGCACAGAAACACGAAGCTCGTGTGGCTTCCATTGCAGACCTGGTGGCAGTCTGGCAGGCTGCAGCACGCAGAGCTGGGCAAGTCGGCACCCGCCACTGGGGCGGGCCGGCAGGGTTGTGGGCCTGCATCGGGAAGTAAGTTCTGCCCAGGGTCTGGAGGGGAGGCATCCCGTGCCTTTTGGATGATGCATATCCCCAAAGCGTCTTTCAAAGAAAGACTTGGTGCTTTCTAAGTGAGGGGTGGAGGAACAAGGTACAGGTCAGAGGTAGGGGGCGTCCACAGCAACGCTGGAACCTCTTTAGATCCTTGGCGCCTCTGCCTCACCTCAAAAGAAGTCCTCCTCACTATCCTCCTCCCACGCTGCCCAGCGGCATAGCCAGCGGGGCGGCTGTTACCTGATGCCCAGAACAGCTCTCAACTGTCCAGAAACTCAAGGTGGACCATCTGGGCCAGCTACACCGCACGGCCCCGCCCCGCCCCCATCCTGCCTGGATGGGCACCCGAACAACCCCGCATCCGTTTGTTTTCCTGGCAGGGCGGCAGCAGGGCACCCCACATAGGTCCTCACGACCACGCCCACTCCCAAGCCTCACCAGTTCCCAGCGGAGCTGGCTCAGGAAGCTGTCAAGTCGAGCGCTGTGCATGTCGGTGCCGGAGCTCCCGCCAGCCCTGCCAATTCCTCCTCGACTCCTGGCAGGAGCGACGCGGAGAAGGCTCGGGTGGCCAGCCAGCGACGCCCTCTCCCTGCGCCTTGCTAAGAGAATCCTCACACTGCTGAACTCCCGCCGCCGCCGCCGCCGCCGCCCCAACATCTGGCAGCCACGCCCCGCCCCCGGCGCCGCAGCCAATGGGGGCGGGGCGAAGTTGAAACGGCCCCTCCCCCGAAGCCTGGCGGGATGAGTGAATTGGGCGTCCGGTTTCTGCACTAGCTCTGCGGGGAGGGGAGAGGCTGTAATTGGAAACTGGATGGTGCCCATTCCGCGACCCCTGATGCCTTGGAAGGTTTAGCTAACCCTGTGTTCGTTGCGTAACGAAGTATAGGTCCTTTCCCCAGGGTGGTCTCCCCTTCCCCATATGTTCCCTCGTGAAATAGCAGTCCCTCCCACCAGGGCCTCGTGGGGCGACCGCATGTGAGCAGAGGGCCAGATCCTTGTACTCGACAATGTTGTGGCCCATTAGGGGTATGACCTGTTCCTTAGGCTGGCCTCGACAATCCCTGGAAATGACAGGAGCGAGGTTCGGCCCCTCTGAGTACTCAGGGATTGCAGGACTTCATAGCAGCGTAAAGAACCAGGCTTCAGAAATCCCACCCCACTGCGTTCCCGCTTTGTGTTGTGCTAGGTTTGATCGCCCTCTAGTGGGGAGCGCGCGCCTAGCTTCAAGTTCAGAAGCGACTTCGGACCATCCGCAAGCCCTGTGACTGTCACCGTGTAAAGACTGAGGGAGACAGCGACGATCTTCTTTAGCGAGAATGATCAGAACCTGTCGGCTGAGATTACTCCATAATCAGAGGCTAGGTTCAAGGGTATAGTGTAACAGGAAACCGACTGTACCTTTCAGCAGACAGGAAAATATGGGGCAATGGAGTAGTTTGAAGAAGAGGTCTCTCAGAGCAGTGACATCAGGGTGCAACCTTAGTCATTGTGAGGAGGTCAAGAAGACAGGCCTTCTAGCTGGTAGGGGTGGCATTCCTCTCCAGTCCTGACTACTTGGGATGCTGAGGCAAGAGGGTGGCAAGTTGGAGGCCAGCCTGGGCAACTTAGTGAGATCGTATCTCAAAATAAAATTTTAAATAAGATTTTAAAAAGAGCTGAGGATGTAGCTCAGTAATAGAGGGAGAACAAGTTCTTTTGTAGTGAATGACCTGGACTGGTTCCTGTTTGATAATATCAGCTGCTTTGAGAGAACAACTCTGTAATAAGAGTGAAGGTTCCTGCCTTCATCAAGGCAAGAAAGGTGAAGTCTTGGGCTGGTGCACAGCAGGTAGATAGAAGAGAACCGCTTTAGGGTATGTTTTGAAGCTAAACTTAAGCCTCTTTTTTTTTTTTTTTTTTTTGCACTGGGGATTGAACCCAGGGTACTATACCACTGAGTTACATCCACAGTCCTTTTCATTTTTCACTTTGAGGCAAGATCTTGTTAAGTTCAAGCTGGCCTGGAATTAGCAGTCCTCCTGCCTCCTGCCTCAACCTACCAAATAGCTGGAATTACAGTTGTGCACCACTGTGCCCAATCTCCAGTGGCGCAGTAGGTCTGAACGAGACTTGGGACATGAATGTAGACAGAGATGGTAAACAGTGAAGACTATGCTCTGGAACAACCCACTGGATAGGGGAGATGAAACAGAACCAGCAAAGGAGCTGAGCAAGAATAGTTGGGATGTGGGAGAAACCTGAAAGAATATGGAGATTTAGGATCCAAAGGGAGCAAACATCAAACTCTGGAGAATGTGAGGATGGAGAACAAACTGCTGGCTACAGAGCTGAGTACTGTGGCATGTGCCTATAGTCCCAGTTACTCAGGAAGCTGAGGCAGGAGGATCAGATAACTTAAGCCCAGAAATTCAAGTATAGGCATGTGCCACCACGCCCAGCTTGAAGAAAACTGTTTTTAAAAACTAGCATAGAAAGGGGCTGGGACCGGGATTGTGGCTCAGTGGTAGAGCTCTTGCCTAGGATGTGTGAAACACTGGGTTCCATCCTCAGCACCACATAAAAAAAATAAACAAAAACTAGCATAGAATGTAAATATGGTAAATGGGAAAATTTCAAAGATAGAGTTCTGTAGATACTCATCCAACTGACAGTAAGATCAATATATAGGATATCCTGACCAGACACAGTGTTGCATGCCTGTAATCCCAGCAACTCAGGAGGCTGAGGAAGGAGGGTTGCAAGTTTGAGACCAGCCTCAGCAATTTAGTAAGGCCTTAAGTAACTTAGAAAGACCCTGTCTCGGGTTGGGATTGTGGCTCAGCGGTAGAGCACTCCCCTATTACGGGCGTGACCCGGAGTTCGATCTTCAGCACCACATAAAATAATAATAATAAAAGCATTGTGTTTGTGTCCATCTACACCTAAAAAAATATTTAAAAAAAAAAGGAAGACCCTGTCTCAAAATAAAAATTTAAAAGGTCTGGGGATGCAGCTCAATAGTAAAGTGCCATTGGGCTCAATCCCTAGTACCAAAATTAATTAATTAGTTAATTATTTTTTTTTAAAGAGTGAGAGACAGTGAGAGAGAGAGAGAATTTTTAATATTTACTTTTTAGTATTTGGTGGACACAACATCTTTGTTGGTATGTGGTGCTGAGGATCGAACCTGGGCTGCACACATGCCAGACGAGCGCGCTGCCGCTTGAGCCACATCCCCAGCCCTAGTTAATTATTTTTTTTAAAAATATAGCATGCCAGGTGCAGTGGTGCATGCCTATAATCCCAGCCATTCGGGAGGCTGAGGCAGGAGGACCATGAGTTCAAAGCCAGCCTCAGCAAAAGCAAGGTGCTAAGCAACTCAGTGAGTCCTGTCTCTAAATAAAATTCAAAATAGGGCTGGGATGTGGCTCAGTGGTTGAGTGCCCCTGAGTTCAATCCCTAGTACCAAAATAAATAAATAAATAAAAATTTAAAAAAATATAGTACATCCTTAGCCATTCCAATCCAGGAAGCTACCTTGTGGACCCTCCAGTTGATATTCCCATAGGTAACTACTACTTTTCTATCTACAATCAAGGATTTCTTTTGCTTGTTGAACATAGACAACTATTGAGAGATTCTGTGGATGATTGAAGTGAGATTTTTGAAGACATTTTAATGATGTGTGGGGGGAGTTTGTGGGATAACTAGATTTGGGTTCAGTTTTCCTGAATGCTGTGCTTTCTCTGTCTCCAAGAACAGCATGGCCAGTTTCACCACCTGTATCACATCCTCTTAGGGTTATGATAATGAATGGGGGAATTCACTGGGAAACAGTGGAAAATGGTATTTTCCAGGCCTCTGGAGGCCTGCCAGGGAACTAGAGCTCAGTCACCAGAGATGGGTGGGGTTGGAGTCCCGAAGGCCCGCCTGCATGACTGTGTTTGAGCAACTGACCTGGCAACGGGGTGGGCCTGACAAACAGTCTCCTCTGTCATCTCTTCAGGCCACTATGGTGCTGCTGAGGCTCCTGATGCTTCTTTTTGCTCTGGTTGTCTCTGGTGAGAAGCTGGTATATGGGGATACCCCAGTTTTCCTTTGGAGTTCTGACCTCAGATTCAGGGTAAGGGTTAGAGTAAGGGTCTGAACTCCTGATCAGTGTTTCTTATCTCTGCTTCCTCAATCAGTTATCTCTCCCCATCTATAAAATGTCAGATGTGGAGAACAAGGACAGAACTTGGCTGTTTGATATCAAGGTGTTGTCAGACCCTGCAGCAAAAGGGTGGGACTTTGTTTACAAGTGTGGTTCCTTGAGCATGGGGGGGCCTCCAGCCTGAATTATCTGCTCCTCACAGACCTCCACAGTCTGCCCTGGTTCATAAATGTGTCTGAACGCGAGGGTCCTGGAACCATCCTTCAGTCTTTCTCCTTCAACTGCTCCTCCCACATGCCTACCCTGGAATTGGTCAATGTGCAACCACCTACCACTTTCTTCAACCCACCCAGCCTGACCAAGTGGCAGGGGATCTATGTGGGAAAGGTAGAGTCATGAGTAAAACTGGGAACTGGGGGCACAGGGCAGACCTGAAATTCCCCAAAGCCAGAGGTGGTATACAGAGACAGAGAGACTAGGCCCCAAATGTTACTGCCTGTCCACCACAGGTGACTTTGAGCAGCTCAGCTCGGCTGGATGCCCTTGCAGTAAACCACTATGAGCTGCGGCTGCGATATACATGTGGCAACATTGTGATGGAGGGACCACTCTTTGTGGATGTGCAGCGGGACTCTGGCCATATCCAGTGTATTGGTCGATTTGCTAGCTCAGGTGAGGCCAGGGGCAGGAGGCAGGGGTGGACAGACATGACCTGAAGAGAGCCTGCCTGATCTTCCCCCTGGTCAGGTGGGGAAACCATTCAGGTGCCAGAGACAGTCAAACCTGGGGCCCGGTTGTACACTCTGCTGCTCCCAGGCCTAGAAGTCCAGGGAACTCAGGTAAGCCCAGCACATAGGATAGTGGATGACATGATGTGTGTGCGAGTGGGATGGGGAATACAAGCTCACCACTGCCTGACCAGCTACAGCCTGCAGAGGGACACTACAATCCACAGTTGAGCCTGTGCATGATGCCTATTCTTGAAGAGAGCCACTAATGTTACCCTTTCCCCAGTGACTGTAATTGTTCCCATAGAGAAGTCTAAGGAACTGGGCTCTTCTTTCAATTTCTCATATGTGTTCTGAGTTTTCCATTACAATTTTTTTTAGTTGTTTATGAACCTTTATTTTGTGCTATCACTGAGCCACAACCCCAGCCCTCCATTGCAATTTTATAACATTTTGTAACCCTTCAAAAAGAAACATAGTTTAAAAACAAGATAATTGGTTTTTTTTTGTTGTTGTTGTTTGTTTTGATTTTGTGTGTATGTAGTGCTGGGGATTGAAACAAACACTCTACCAACTGAACTATATCGCTAGCCCAAAATAATTGGTTTTAAAGCAGAAAGGATTGAGGGTCAGTATCAGGATTCCCAGTAGAGGGCAGAGAGCCTAGGCTGGGGCAAGAGTCAGTGGCAGGGCATGGGAGACCAGGTGTGGACAGGTGCCTCCTGGGTTGTTGAAAGTAGTGCTTGGGGCACTAGAGGCTGGTTGGGGCTGCTAGCATCTCTGTTCTATTAGATGAATATTATCAGCGCCCAGGACCCTCCATACTTCCCTGGACCTTTCTCCATCAATGAGCAGGGTTGGCTTCGGGCACCACCTCAGGGTCTCAAAGGCCAGGCTCAGAAGGTAAGCATGACTTGGGACCTGGGGATGGATGGATATATATATATATCATCACCTTCTGAAAATTTGTTGCCTCTCCCTCCCAGACCTGCATCTCCTGCCCTATGTGGACCATACTTTCACTTTGGCTTGGTTCATAAAGAGAAAGAGTCCCTCAACATGAAGGAGAGTTTTTAGGGCAATAACACTTTAAGAGAAAGTTCTGGGTTAAGCGGCCAGTAAAGAGGTTAGAAAAGTTTCTTCTTTAAAATTTCCACCTCTTAGTAATTGGCCCTTAGCAACTCTAATCTAATAATTCACATGTGAATGACTCAGATATCACTTTCTTGAGTCGTTTGCAACCTAACAGGAGAATTTATGTCCCAAAGGTATATGACTCAAAGGAATACTTGTCATCAAAAATGACTGGTTATGGGGGAAGAGTAAAAGTTGGAGTTCCTTGTGGAGGTCTTGAGGGGAGAACTGAGCATAGACATTGAGATTCCCCTCCTATCCTGTATGTCCCGTAGATCTTCCAGCTGCAGATCTCAGTGTCACTTGGACAAGGCCAAAGCTGCCAAAGAATGCTGGTGGTAAAGATTTTGCCTGCACCATCCAGCCAGGTCTCCTTCCTGTAAGGCTCCCCTATACTAGGGGAATGAGGGGGCGCATAGCAGGACCTAGCTCTAGGGAATCAGGGGTAGTAGTAGGGTGCAGGGTTGCTGGAACATTGTAACTCTGTTAGGAGGGAAACCCCAGAGGAGGAGGACACTACCCTCAGGGCACCAGATGAGAAGGAGCAAGCAGAAGCCAGTGCTTCACTTTTGATCTAGACAGAAGGCCCAGAATGTCACCATTCCTGAAGACAAAATCCCTGGGAGCAAGGTGGTTCAAGTCCAGGCTAGGGGCTTCAACTTGCGCTATGAAATCTTCTCTCCAGTGCCCAGTCCACTCTACTCCATCGGAAGCGGTGAGGGGCAAGGCAGGGTGGAGGGTACCTGGATGTCTCTGCAACCTGTCTAAAGGTGCCCCTATGTGATCTCGCCCACCTGAGAAAAAAGGCCAGAGCCAGGGCTGCGACTGGGGCAAGGTCCGGTTGGGGTCTTAACCTTGAAGTAGGAGGCGGGAGTGGTATCCTCTGCCTCCAAGGGTGAGGCTGTTGACGGTTTTGGGGGAACCATTGAGCTGAGGACAGGGCCGAGCTCTGCTTCTCTGCTTTGTCATCATACCCAGTGGATGGGGTAGTCCAAACCACCATGCCCCTAGAATTGGCTCACTCCCGAGGTGCAGCGATCACAAGGCTGCAGGTGAAGGCCTTTGAAAGGTTTCAGCCATGGGCCAGTGCAGAGCTCGATCTCACTGTGAATGTGCTCTCTGTCAACCACTGGCCCCCACTCTGCATCCCGGCTCTTCTGGTGTGAGTATGCGGGAACCTTGCCTAACTGTTGGGGTAAGATTGAGATCTGTGGCTCACATCTGAGTCAGACTCCTGCTTTGCTGTGGTCCTCTACTCTCAGGACTCAAATCCCGGAGACCACACCGGTGGGCACTGTGCTGAACACAATCACTTGCACTGACCCAGACTCTGTTGGTGCCACCCTCAACTACCAGCTGTGGTTCCACAGCCCTCCTGGTCTTGCCAGTCTCTGCCTTCGTGACAGGGTCCTTGAGGTGCTGGTCTCCCACTCCCAGGCCCACTTGTAGGATGCTTGCAGCAGGAAGGGGTGGGTGGGCCAAGGGTGTATGGACACTGAGACCATGGGGATGGGATTCCATGATTATTGAGCCAATCTGCTTTGCATTCTGCGAAACAGAGGACCAGGGTAGATGCCCTGACCTGAGGTAGCCCAGTGTGGCTTATGGCTCTCCCAGGTCCTGGCTGGGCCTCACTCTTTGACCCCTCTGATCAGGTGAATGCTACATTGGACTGTGATACTCCTGGGACCTGCTTCCAGCATGCAGCCTCTATTCTGGTGCTTGATGGTGGTCAGCCCCAGATGACCAGTGAGTGACCATACTTAGGCCTGGACTTTCAGGACAGGGCTATTCAGTCTACCATCCCATTTTGTCTATTGTCTCTCTCCCAAGTAATAGTCATCTTTCCTCCCTCAGAATCCAGCAGGGCAGGGTTGTTTTCATTTCAGACTCCTATAGTATCTCTCTTAGACCTCCAGAAGGGGAGGTTATTGCCACCTTCTCTCCAACTTTCTTCTTCCTTGAAGCCCCAGAGCAGGGTTATGCCTCCTTTCTCAGACCCCCAAGGCAGGGCTGAGCACTCAGACCAGCCCTTTGACTGCCAAATGGCCCCCAGCTGAAGTTCCAGTACTGGTGATGGTGACACCTGTCAATGAGTTCACCCCAGCCTGTGCCCCACGCATGTTCCGGGTTCAGGAAGATGCAGGGCCTCACACACTGCTGGGCACTGTGGTGGGCACGGATATGGATTACCCACACAACAGCATTGAGTACTACACATCTGATGGATCCTCTATCTTTGCTGTGGATCATCTCAGTGGTATTTCCACACCAGGGGTAGGATGGAGAGGTGGGGCCAGAGTTGGCTTTGCAGGCTGAAGCTGTGACCATACCCTCTAGGAGAGATTCACCTCCTGGGGACTCTGGATTATGAGCAGCAGAGGCTGTACAGACTGACTATTCTGCTGATTGACCATGGCCAAGACTGGGACCCCACCTACCACCGCTCAGGTTCCTGTACCATTACCATTGAGGTTGAGGTAATTGAACCCCAAGGCCTTGGAAAGACGTGGGGAGGCAAGAGTTGCCTTTTGGCCTTTTGTTTTTCCACACCATGCCTTAGTTTCCTCCATTGGTTGGTTGGAATGGGTAAAGCCTCACTGGGGAAAGAAAGCATTAGGACCTGTTGCCTAGGCTCTGGCTGTGATAGGACAAAGCTGAGATGCTGACTTCTGGGGTTTGGGAAGTGGGTCAAACTCACTCCTATAACTTGGTATCCTTTCTGCAGGATGTGAATGACCATCCCCCTGAGTGTGAGCCCCCATTTCAGGAACTTACCATCTATACTACTCTGGGCCATAGTGTGGAGGTGACCAAAGTATCATGCTGGATACCCCAGGAGCCACAGCGCCTGGCCTTCTCCTACAGCATCATAGGAGGTATGGATTGTAGAGGCCACTAACCTGTGGGTGAGGAGCAAGCCACAGCCAGCAATGGTCTCCTTCTGCCACTCTGATTTCAGGAGATAGCAAGAACCAGTTCAGATTGCAAGAGGCCATCCTGGTGCACAATGACTCTATGTTGGGACCTCCTTGGCAAGAACAGCCTTGTACCTATGAACTACTGATCCGTGCGGCTGATGCGGGTCCCTCCATCCCCCACCTCAGCACCACAGTCACCATCATTGTGCATCTAGTTCCCTGGAGGGCCAGCACCGTGGCCATGAGCACCCAAAGAACCACAGTGAGGGGGCTCCTCAGGCCTGGGGGATGGGGCAAAAGGACCTTGAAGGATGAGGAGACCCAGGTTTTTCAAGTGAAATGATGGAGAAAGGCATTCTGGAGGAAACTGCTAGTGCAAAGAACCTGGCAATATAGAAGAGCAAATCTGGGGTGTGGAGAGGTTTGAAAACTCAATAATCAAAACATTTTGGCAGGGCAGTGATGAGTCTATGGTTCTCATTTCAGGTGCCCTCAGTGATGACACCCCTGCTTGTAAGATATACAGAGACTTTCTGGCAGCCCGAACCCTGGTTTGTGGTGGTGCTCACAGCAACTGGTGCCCTTCTGCTTCTAGCTCTAGGATGGCTGGTCAACAGGCTCCTTCAGAGGTAGGGTTGCTATCCCCATGCTCCCTTCCTCCCCCAGCTCACCTTTGGACCCTGACTGTGGTTTTCTAAATTTGAAAAACAATGCAAAAGTTGATGGGCATAGGGCTGGGATTGTGGCTCAGTGGTAGAGTGCTTGCTTAGCATGAGTGAGGCACTGGGTTCAATCCTCAGCACCACCTAAACATACATACATACATACATAAATACATTGTGCCCATCTACAACTAAAAAAATATTTTTAAAAAAGTTGATGGGCATAGAACTGATATGGAGGAGAAAAATGCTGAGTCTCCATAGGTCTTCAGATTAGAGTCAGAGAGACACTGAAAGAAAGTGTTCTTCAGGCAGAGCTTAGTCTTGGGATGGGTGTGGATGGCTCAGGGCTTGAGGCTCTGAGTCTGTCATGCATGGGGTATTTCCCTATTCCTGACCCCTGTTCTCCACTTAAAATCTGCCCTACTTCTATAGACTGAATTCCTTGTGGGCATAGAAGTGAAACCCAGGGGAAGTGGGAATAATAATGTGGGCATCAAATACAGACAATAATCAAATACCAATAGATGAATGGTACTAATTCCTGGTGCCAACAGGCCTGTTGCCCTTACTGCTTGGTTTCTCTTCCTGGCATTTTAGATTGACCCAGGTACTTCAGGCTCCAAGCAAATCAGCCCAGGCTTTGAGGCTAAACAGGTCAGTCTCCTTTCCAAGCCTCTATGCCTGAGAGCCCACCTCTTAAACTCAGGTTGGGGCTCAAGGCCTTACCCTGTGCTTCTTCTCCTACTTTGCTCCAGCATCCAGGGGAATGAAGGATCCATTGAGTAGTTTGGAGGCACCAAGGATGGAGATGTCCCAGGTACCTAGCAGTGTCATGAACTGGTATGTCAACTGACTTTCTTGAGTAGTAGGTAATGAGGTTGTTCTAGGGTACTCCCTGTCCCTGCCAAGCCCGACTCCTTACCTGTAAATGGCTACTCCTATGGAAGTGTCCACATCAGCATCATCAGGATGGAGGAAGCATTTGGACTTCTGGCCTCTCCAGTGCCTGTCTCCATCTGCTCCCTGTGGGCAGGTTTAACTTATATTGCATCCTCTCATTCTTCTCCTCAGGAACATTTTAATGGAAGAGCACAGGATGCCCTCGAGTCCCCACTTTTTCCAAACCATTATCTTCCTGGGGCCCTTAATGCCAGAATTCCTTTCTTTCCTCACCGTATCTCAGTATTTTCTCTTATCACCAAGTATCCTCCATCTACATTTTTTTGAATGGGATCTTCTCTCCCCCACACTCACCCTTCAGCCAATCTTTGTCAAACACTGGTGGAGCCTAGAGATGACTTAAACCTAGCTTAGTTCCCGCCCACAGGGGAGAGGGGAATGATGAGGGGAGTGCTTCCAAGATACTCCAGTGTCACAAGTGAACTATGGTAGAGTAATCTGGCAATGACCATAGGTGAAATGGTGTCCAGTTTTGGAGAATTGAGGTTTCTTAGGCATTTGAATCAGAGAAAGGAGGGAAAGAACAGGTTGGATTCTAGTTAGAAGGGGGGGTTGTCACACTGTAGGTCCTGGAATGTATTCTCTTATAGTAAGGGGAGGAAGGAAGTTCTGCTGAGAGTTCTGACTCCTCTCTCTTCTGATTATCTGGGCTCAGGTACAGGCCAAGATTACCTGTTCAACATGAGTTCTAAAGCATCTCTAAGGCGCTGGCTCTAAAGCATCTACTTCACTGTGTGGAATTTCTTCATCACATGATCATGTACTATGATTTCAAGTTGATTCAATAATAAACAAAATTACAAACAGAATAGTTCCAGATTTGTAATCTATATGTGGGAGAAACTCAGATCTGTGTTTCCTTGTTCTTACTTGGAGAAAGTGCTACATTACCGGCATACCCTAGGGAGTGGTAAGGTTGTTTTTCTTCTCTTTTCTTTCTTTCTGTTTTTTTTTGGGGGGTGGTACAGGGGATTGAACCTAGATATACTTTACCACTGAGCTACATCCCATCCCTTTTTAATTTTTTTTAAATTTTGAAATAGGGTCTCACTAAGTTGATTGAGGCTTCACTAAATTGCTGAGACTGGTCTTGAACTTGCAATTCTCCTGTCTCAGCATCCTAAGTTGTTGGAATTATGGGAATGTGCTACCATGCCCAGTAGGTTACTTTTCTTTAAAGAGACATTGTATGATGCTCTGATAGTGACTGATACTCTGCAGAAGTTAGATTCTGTTATTTTTGTCAGTGACTGAGGGGACCTCTAGTTGTCTTGTCCTCTCAGAAACTGACTGCTTCCTTTTCCTACAAAGAGGAGGACACTGCTACTTTTTGAGGGTCCCACCAAATTTCAGGGCCATTTTCCAACAATGTGTAGAGGTTCTATTGGGAAGGATCCAGAGCTTTTGCACTGGGTTGAGGAGTGGTGAAGACTTGAAAAATCTGTGCATGGCTAGTCCTGGTAAGATTGATGGAAGCCCTCTTCTAATGGTGTTCTCATTTCTTTTTTCTTTTTTTGGGGGGACTAGGGATTGAACTCAGGGACACTCAACCACTGAGCCACATCCCCAGCTCTATTTTGTATTTTATTTAGAAGCAGGGTCTCACTGAGTTTCTTAGCGCCTCACTTTAAAAAAAAAAAATATTTTTTAGGTGTAGATGAACACAACACAATGCGTTTATTTTCTTTTTTTATGTGGTGCTGAGGATCGAACCTGGGTCCCACCATACTAGGTGAATGCTCTACCGCTGAGCCACAATCCCAGCCCTGGCATCTCCCTTTTGCTGAAGCTGGCTTTGAACCCATGATCCTCCTGCCTTGGTCTCCCAAACTGCTGGGATTACAGGCATGCGCCACCACGCCTGGCCCCTTTTCTTTCTGATTACTGCACCCTAAATGTTTATTCTGATTCCTCTATCCTCAGTTTTCCCTGTGCTCAGCTGAGATGCTCTACACAGTCAGCTGACCTACAGCAACTTGCAGGAAAGCCAGCCTTGCTGGATGCAGTGTTGATCTTTTCTCCACACCCACTCTGGCTCAGATGTCTGACTGCCAGCCCTCTAAGAAGACCTATTGTCTGGGTGGAGGAGGCTACCCTTACTACGGAATCCCTAAATTATATCAAATCATCCCCTCCTCTTTTAAGTCTGTGGGCCTGAATCGGCTCTGGGCACTAAACAACCTCCCTTCCTGATCCAGTATGATATCCCAAGCCCAGGAAGAAGCTCAGCACCTTCTGTGGGAAAAGAACTCTTAATAGGGCTTCCACCAAAGTGAGAGTGTAAAGAGCAGGTCTCAGGTCCAGCAACCTGAATGTGGCTATCAGTGGATTTTTCCTGAGTTCTTACATAGCTCTAAGGGCTCATTAAAAATCTGTATCTCTGAGAAGCTTGGCTTTTATCCTTGTTTTACAGATAGGGCAACTAAGGCTCAGAGAGGCTAAGGCTCAAAAGTTAGACTTAGCTAGTCCAGGCATTTGAGTTTACGACCAGACATGGAACCGCCGCATTTGGCGTCCTGACCCCTAAGCCAAGCCCAAGGTTAGGTGATCTACATGGAAAACAAGGGATGACCACTTTATGGGATTTATAATCTGCCTTGGAGGCAGGTCATGACAGTCTAGGGCAAAATGCTGTCACAGGAACTTAAGATGTTCCAGGGTAGAGAGGATTTGCTGGCTGTGTGCCAGGGCTTGTGCTGGGGGACATCACATCAGGCAGAACAAGTATGGGAAATGGGCCAGGGTCTGTTGAGGCAGCACAAAAGGCTGCATGCACCTCAGGCCAAGCAAGGGGCAAATGTGGAAGCCGCTGAGAAGACACTCTTTATGTTCTGGAGACATAGGAAAAGGCTAAAACCCAGTGCTTGCCTCCACTTCCAGAGGTGGCGTGACCTTGACCCGGCTTCCCTTCTCGGGCCTCAGTTTCCTCACCACAGAAAATGTGTCAACGCCCCCTCCAACTCCAGGGTGGCTGACAAAGAAAGCAAGTAGAATACCGCTGACATTTTCTAAGTGTGTGCGCGAGTGTGACAAGATACGTTGGCTAGGCATGAGGGGGCTACACAGGAAGAGAAACCAAGGGCGCTCCGGCCTGAGTCGCCAGCAAAAGCTCAGCCGAAAGCAGGGCTAGAGAACGGCGCGCATGCGCCTACTCCCGCCGTCACAGTCACGTGCCCCAGGCGTTCTGCTCGGGGCGTGAGAGGCAGGCTCTGACTGACAGGCCATCGGGCCGGTCATCAAAAAGTACTCCTCCGGGTGTCGAGCTAAGAGGCTGTTGATTGGGGATAGCCTTAGTTGGGGGCGGGTTCTTTGGCTTCTTGGTTACTATGACGCCCGGTCTCCGCCCCCTCGGCTGGCCGCCATCTTGTTGTTGATCCTTACCCAGTGGGCAGCGCCAGGAGCTGGACCGAGCGGCCGCTGTGGGGCCGCTGCTGCGAGGCTCAGCCACCTGCGCTGCCTTCCTGGGGCGGGCCGAAACCTGGAGGCCCGGGGGGCCCAGCTCCCGTGGGGAGCCTTGGGCGCCCGCTGTCCGGGCCGGGCCGGTGAGTGACAGGAGCCGGGCCGAAAGACCCGCCTGATGCCCGCGGGTAGGGTGGCGGTGGGCGCGGGATTGAAGTGGGCGCGCGTGGGGCCCGGGCTTAAGCTGAGCATCGCTTCAACATCATTCCAGTGTCCTGACTGGCAGCCCGTCGAGCCTCCCAGATGCTGGTGCTGAGGCTCGGAGGACAGCCGAGGGTCGGGGTCCAAGAGCCTGGTGCCCTAGGGCGGGCCGGTTGGTTGGCTAGCCGGGCTATTGAGAAACAAGCTTTTCTGACCAAAGCCGTGGACTCCACAGATCCAGAGCTCTGAAACGTGTCCAGTGTCATTCTGATGCTCTCCGGGGCGTTGTGTTGCTCCTGAGTGTGATATACACGTACTTCTTTCTTAGGTATCATTCTTGCAAGTGATTTTTCAGGCTTTTTGAGACTAAGACTAGACAAACAGGCCAAAGCCCCCGCGAGCCTGGCAGTCCTGTGTCACGGCCCTGTAAGTCTGGTAGGGTGAAGACCCTCTGCCCTGGCTTCTTTTCCTGAGACTCTTTCAGAACATCACGTGTTCTTTGGAGCTCCCTCTTGAAAGGCCTGGTTAAATGTCCATCATTTTATTTGGGGCATAATTTCCTTGCAGCTGAAGCCTCAGGTCTAGCAACCTGAAAGTGGCTATCAGTCCACTTTTTTGGACTGTTTTTTAGGAGAAAGATTATTATGGTGTTGACTTGATTAATTTTATTTCCTAAAGAGATTCCATTAGTTTGATTTGGAGACGTAGGAAATTTGGGAGTATGTTAGAATTGGAAAAAAGAAATGAGACTTGTTTTTGTTGTGGATGTTCTTGAACTGCTAAATTAGCTTTTAGCAGTACTACATGTATTCACTTGATGAAAATAGACTATCAGGCCCTTTCCTGGGAGGTAAATAATGTTGGAGATTCTGGGCAGAGTATGCAGGTCTAGAAAGAGTTCTGTGGACGTTTGGCTTCCTCATACAGTCACTGTGGGTAGTCCTATAAAGCCTGCATAAGATGACTGAGAAGTCAAGTAACAATTTTTTATGCACTCCTGTTAGGATAGTGTCACTTCAGCATATTTAATTTTGAAAGAAACCAGCTCCTTGGTCAGGAGATTCTTTTGGAAAGTAGATGCTGATACCAGAGGAGTTGGCAGCCTGTTGCTGTTTGTAAGAAGAGAGAAATTGAGTAGTCTTTATTTATTTATTTCGTTGTCCTCCCTTAGGGCAATTTTTTGAATTTTTAATGAGTTTTGACCTTGTTAAGACCTGTTCCTTGGGCAATTCTTGGAAAGAAAGGAAGGATATAATAAAACATTGTCAAAACTGTCCGAAGCCAAGCCTCCTTCCCCACCCCCCATTAATGTTCTTTTAGAAAGTTAATTAAGGCAGACACAGGGTTAAATTCCTGCAGTTTATGTTAAAATAATAGTAACTCTAGGTGAGGATTTCTATCCTGTTTTGGATATTTGACTTCTTTGAGATATGTAAATAAACTATCCTTGGTCAAGTACTCAACACTGACTTTTACATACAATTTTAGGGATTCAGGGGCCATTAAAGTACATGGTTGATATAACCCTAATAGAACAGCCATCTCAAGGAAATCAGAATATCCAAGAACTTTGTTTTTGTTTAATGCTTTTACAATTTCATGAATGAGTGGTAGATGAACACAAATAGCAATACTTCTCTGCTCAACATTTTTTAAGTGCAAATGATGAGACTTGTTATAATAGCAGGCCCTAAATTCTTTGTCTATGCATAATTTACCAATAACCGTCAGCACTTTAAACTAAAAAGGATTACAGATACAATTTAGACTGTGGAGCTCCTACGCTGAAGTTAGGAACTTTGACAAGCTTCTAGGATGAGATCTGATGTGGCGTTCAAGGTGCTGTTGCCCCAGCTATCCCAACCTACCACTATGCTTTTTTTTTTTTTTAAAGAGTGAGAGAGAGTGAGAAAGAGGGAAAGAGAGAGAGAACTTTAATATTTATTTTTCAGTATTTGGCGAACACAGCATCTTTGTCTGTATGTGGTGCTGAGGATCGAACCCGGGCCGCACGCATGCCAGGCGAGCGCTACCACTTGAGCCACATCCCCAGCGCTACCACCATGCTTTATCCTAATTCCCCCTAACCAAATTATGTGCTTAATATTACATACATATTATTGATCTAGGTTATTCCTCTTGCTGGCTGAATGCATGACTTTTGCTCCTATTTGGGATATCCTGTTCCTTCACCTTAGTTTTATCTCTAGA